ATGTTTCTGTATTTAAATAAATTTTTTTACTCCCACCATTAAAATGCCCATTATTGTACCTGTTTTGATGACACTAAGTGACTTTTTAAATACACATTGACAAGTTGTGGCTTTATGGCCTTTTAGTCACAGGCTGAAGTTAGTTTTAAGTGACACTTCTGAAATGTGATACAATCGTTAAATAAGCCCATCTTGTGAAATATTACTTAATGTAAAAATTATTTTATTATCTTAATACAAAAATACAAAAGTATTAAATAGTTTCCAAACTAGATTTAACTTAATTTCGGGTGGAGAGTCTACCGTGGAGTGCCCATAAAATATTTTCTATGAAAAATCGATTTTGGTCCATTTTCTAGGGATAAATTTCGATTTACACATAGAGTAAAGTAGCCGATTGTGGAATACTGTTTGGTTTTTTGAAAAATAAAAAATGAAAACTTTAAAATTATTATGCAGATTTTGGAATATAGATAGCGGGAAGTGTTGCAAACAAAAAACAGAAATAATAAAAATTATAGAAAAAAAATATGTATAAAAAATAACTTTAAAAAAAAAGTGCACTTTTTTTCAAGCTGAAAAATGGGTGGGTAATGTGGAATACCAATATACGCTAATGTGGAATACCAATATACGCTAATGTGGAATGGGTTTAATATCGGACTTGATATAAAAATAATTTGTTTTTTTAAAGTAAAGCAAAAGATTATTGAAAAATAACATACAAATATTTATTCCATTAAAAAATACGAAAGCCTCTAATGTGGAATATTCCTCATTCAGACCGTAATTCGTATTCCACAATAGCGACTTTTTAAATATTTGTAAACAATGTTTGTAAAACATTAAAAACAAAATATTTAATGAAATATTTACACATTTCACAATCATCCACTACCTATCTTTACGCTTATACACCAATCTTGCAAAAATTTCTATAAATGGAGTCACAATAGATGTTTATATAAACACGTGCAAAAATGTAGCGACCGTTACAATTCGTTTTAAACCAATATTGGCAAGCGACAGCCGCGAAATGCTCTATGGTGTTGCTAGGGGTGAAACATAATAGAAAGAGTTTCTGATTAGCGTATTGGAAGATATATGGCGCTATTAGTTTTGCCGCAAAGGAGGTATACCACATTATAGGCAGTATTCCACATACGGCTACTTTACTCTACAAATTTGACATTTTTATCGGTGCACCGGTAATACAGATTTCCATTCTTATAGTTACTACTTTTTTGTATACCTAGATGTCGCTCTATACAAATATTTAATTTATCTAAATCAGTTTTACATAATAATATGTATTTGTCATAGAAAAAGTATAGTATACTATGGTAGCAAGGCCGGATTAAGCTTTCATTGGGCCCGGGGCTATTAAAAATTTGTGAAATCAAACTTTGACATCATGAGTTGAAGTTAACAAAGTTAACATTTTTTGACGTTTGCGGGAAAAATGTATTTTTTACATGCCTTTTAAACGGTAAATCTTTAAATTTAAATAGTAAGTACTTAAAATTGATATTAAGAGTTCAAACTTGGTAAGAATTTTTTTCTATATGCAGATTAATATTTTGCTTAAGCACCGAAAATAACAAAAACTTTGCGGAAATGAATCACCCTAATATATATATTTCTAATTATTACATTTAATGAAATTCCATTTTTCACTTTACAATACAAAAAAAACCCTGAACTTGAGGTTTCGCAATCACATATGGTTTATTTTAATGATCACGAAAAATTTTTTTCACATTATCCTCTCTTTTTTAAATCCATTTTCTTGGGCGATTTCGCCCAAAATCAAATCAGAATCTTTAATTAATCGGCCTTGATTGAAGTCGATCCATCATAGTGTTATCAGTTATCACATCGGTGGATGACTATTACCTTGATAAAAATAATATTAAAGTGAAGAAGATACTGGTGAGGTTACATTGTCTCAGCAGTCTATCACTATAGAATGGTGTTCTCATTGAAAAAAATGCTGTCACAAAGTCATCCCAACTACCTATAAACTATTCCAATTATAATTATTGAACAACTGTACCTAATTCAGGTAATTAATATATCTTGTTTCCTTAATTAAGTTTTCTATACACAATATCACTATACACCTATCACTAAGGAATCGAAAGAGAAAAATTCAAATCTTATGATATTAAAAATTGTCAGAAAGCCTCGGTTTACGGTTAGTATTTTTCGTAAATAAATTATCTCCACTTACCATGCAACGCTGAGTATTGCTAACTATTTATTATAATATATATAATATATAGATATATCATCCACGGAATTTCACAAAATAAAGTATAATTAAATAAAAAAACAGACACTTCACTTAGGCAAAATATTCACGATTACTTTGAGGAATACTAACAGACTATACAGGAAGACTCAGAAGACTGAAGAAGAGAGACAATTTGAATTTAATCGGGGCATCGCGGCACACATGACATATTGTACATTGTGTTTGTTTTGTCTAATTGTGTCTTATACTTATGATTTGCGATGCGGCGGTTTTTACTACCGCCTTTAGCCTTTGACTTTGGCGTGCACTCGTCGCCTTTTCCCATAGAAATATATTAATCTATGCCTTTTCTGAAAGGTAATCGTTTTGCTTTTTGCTTGATATTTTGAAACATATCCCTGTCCACAAAATATGGCTTATTATTTTTCCTTTTAGTGACTGTTGACTGATCCCAGTCGACCACAGTCGAGTAGTTGTTAGTTGTTGAAAATTCGTTGAATTGTTCGGCTGAACTTTTTTCAAAGCGGGGCCCTACTGAATCGCGGGGCCCGGGGCTTCAGCCCCTTTAGCCCCCCCCTTAATCCAGGCCTGTATAGTAGCATACATGCAAATCGTTTTAAAAACTTTTCTCACACTCATTTAATTAAGCCCAAATTAAAATCGTTACTAAAATGGCGTTTATCAAACTTGATACGTAATATACTATTATTAACAACAATGTTGTAATTTATTTATTTAATTTAAAGTTAATAAAACCTAAACAAATGCTAAAAACTTAAATTTGGTTATTTTTTATAAAAGCAAAAGCATACTCGCTAATTAATGTTTAAGCGTGTTTTATGTTTTTTATAAAAGTTTGCCATTTTAACAATATCATGTAGAACCAGAGATAAGCCATCTACTATATTAAAAAATTTAGCGACAAAATGTTTACTAAAGGCTAACTTATTTAAAGTTAAGTATTATCAAGCTTCTACTTTGTTCATGTCGTTAAAAAAACTCTTTTATAAACTTTTAAAATTCTTCCATTACTTAAAGTTTATTCACACGCTTTCAAGCTAAAACAATATTTTAAACTAATCTATTATTAAAGTTTATTAAAAATATCAACATTTAATAAATTTGATTTCTAGTTATCACTAAATTTTCCGAATTAATCGACATTGTATTTACGAAATTCAGTGAATTAGATCCACTTAATTAAAACCACTCAAGCGATTTCAAATAACAAAAGATTTCCTGAATACCCTGTATAAAACTGAATAGAATTTACAAGGCCGTCATTACGTTTAACAACTGACTGGTTATGGCAAATTAGGTGAAATTTTCTCGCTTGAATAAAGTAGTTTAACTATTGTTTGGTAACATGGACAGCAAATTGAACATAATATAATACAATGCTTGTCAAATTAGCATAAACGTGACAGCGACTCTAAACAAATTATATCCATATATGTTTTAATCAATTGTTTTAATTATTAAAAATGTCATTATTGTGGATTTGAAGAACTTATATATATATATATATATACAATGCGTACATTAAAAGTCCCCCCTGTTATCTTTTAAACGAAAAAAGGTATCGACATCGGATATAAACCATTGTCAAGGATATGAAGTAAGAGGTGTGTTCAGAAAATATCGGGAATTTTCGTTTTTTAAAACAAATCTTTATTTATTCGTCTACATTAATATTGTCGCCTTCAAAATAGTCCCCATTGGATATTATGCACATGTGCCAGCTCTTCTTCCAATACTCGAAACAATTATAAAACTCGATCTTTGGGATAGCCTTTAGTTCTTTCAGCCATGCGCATTTAATGTCATCTATGCTTGCAAAACGACGGCCCTTTAAGGTTCTCTTTATTTTTGGGAATAGGAAGAAGTCAGACAGAGGCATGCCTGGCGAATATGGAGGCTGGGGCATCATTACAGTATTGTTTTTGGCCAAAAATGTTCAAAATTTAACAATTTTAGAACAAATTTTGCTGCCACGCAAAATTTCATGGGATGAGCCAATCGATATACCAACATCATCAGTGAGTTCGGGGCGTTCGTCATCTTCAACGTCTTCACGGCTATCTTGGAAACTCTTATACCGCTTGTAAACTCTTGTTTTGCTTATAGCAGACTCACTATAGGCCTTTATTAACATTTCACAGAGTTTATTAACTTTTTTAAGCAAAATTGGATACAAATTCTTTGATCAATTTCTTTTAACGAACGAAAAATCGCCGAGCTCATAAAAACGTCTAACCTTAGCGGATGCCACAGACAAAGTAAACAATGAAAACAGCCAAAGTTTTTATCATACTTCGATGGCATGTATACCTACTTAATAAAGAAAATTTTATGACAACCGGACCCTCCGAACCCGCGAAATTTAACAATTCCCGTTATTTTCTGAACACACCTAGTATATCTACCTAATACAAATTACGTCCAATTTCAGCATAACTAACACTTTTTAAATAGGCACCTATCAATTTGACGTCAAAAAGTAGTATACTTTATAACATTTTGTTCTATGTCGATACCTTTTTTCGTTTAAAAGATTACACGGGGACACTGTAAAAGTAAACAATAAATATCCAAAATATAGGATTTAACACCTGTTAACTAATAAACTAATAAACAATTAATTAATTGTTTGGCTGGTTTAAATTAAACATGTTATTTTTTTTAATTTTAATAAATAATAAATTTATATAAATAAATAAATAAATAAATAAACTTAAATAATCTATTTTGTTTCATTGTTTATTACTAAATCATTTAATTCAGTAGTTGGAATCTCCGTAACTTCGGTAGAAGAAACCATTCCTTCCGTTGTTGTAGTGGTAGTTGTAGAACTTGTAGCAGTGGTAGATGTTATATTAACTGTCGAAATTGTTGCATTTGTAGTCATTTGGTTTGGTTTTGGCTTTAAAGTTGTTGTTAACTCGGAGAGTTCACAGTTTCTTCCAAAAGTACCTTCTCTACAGAGGCATCGATAACTTCCTTCACTTTTAATCATTGAGATACATTTTGCACCATTTTTGCATGTGTTTGGATTGTTTTCGCAATGGTTGAGTTCTAAAATATATATTTTGTTTTTAGTATACAGCTTGTCATGTAATAAGTTGTCATCTCTTGAAGAGGTGGCAGTTGACTTAAAAGTAAGCAAGTTTTTCCTCTAAAACTTTTGCATTACCCATCAACCCATCTATAGCGTTATAAAGTATGTAAAGCAAACCTTTCATTGTAGTAGACATTGTTATATACACACTTTGATTTTAATATTGTAGGATTTTCAAATTAATTAAAATTTAAAAGTTTTTAAAACATTCTACTAAAGAAATTCAAAATTTAGTAAGAAATAATCTTAATTATGGATAAAAAACGTATCTAGGGTATCCTGAAATGGCAAAGTAATGGTATACAGGATGTATCAAAAATCGCGCACTACCTTTAAGGAATCCCATAAAATATTTTTTTTTAAATATCAAATTTTGTTTATTTATTTTACGTCAGACTTGGCGAAAATAACAAAGTCATTCTCATTAACCAATAAAACCATCGAATAAATCTATAAAAAAAATAAACAAATCGTCACCTGAGAATTATAGTACATATATATATATATATATATATATATATATATATATATATATTATATCTGCATTTTTTTTTAATTCAGGTTAGTCTTGTTTTAAGTCTTAAATATGCATATTGTTCTATCTCACGATGCTGTTCTGAGAGGTGATTTTTGGACTTTCTGTGAAACCTAATTTTTTTTTTATATTCTTGTTAATTAGGTCATAACTAAAATTTTAAGAGCAAAATAAAAAAAATTTGACGGTTTGAATTGTTTTAATTGGCTGTTTATTAAAAATATTATGCACTCTTTCAATTATCCAATTAAAACTACCGATTTAATTTAAATATTTAATTTTTGCATAACTAAAAAAAAGGAAATTTTTTTTATATATTTTACTGTTTTGTTGCAATAAACGTTGAAACTTTTAATCTAACCTTTGACGTATACATTTATGTTCCCTTAATTAATATATCCTTAAAGGTTGCCATGAAACTTAGATCTATTAAAAATTTATTTGACGTCATTTTCAGTATACGTATTCTATAATTTTTGTTTAGTTTTTAAAGTGTTTTTTATAAACAAAAATGAAAAATTGTAGTAAAAGTTACGAAGAAATTTATGAAATTTAACTAAGGACCGGTTTATTCATCTTTAGTAAAGTTTATCGGGCCGATAACTTTCATGTCTTGGCAATATCTAGTATCCAAAGAAATTATTCGTCAAATAAATCAATCAAATCAAAATTAAAACTTTAAACGTACAACAAAACAGTAAAAGATATAAAAAATGTATAGACCTTTTTTTAGGAAATTAACTAATCTTTAATCTGATTTAAAAAGTTATAATAATATTTAAATAAAATCGCAAGTTTTAATTGGAAAATTGAAAGTGTGCATTCATATTTTTAATAAACATCCAATTAAAACAAAATTAACCGTCAATTTTTTTTTATTTTGCTCTTAAAATTTTAGTTATGACCTAATTAACAAGAATATAAAAAAAATTAGGTTTCACAGAAAGTCCAAAAATCACCTCTCAGAACAGCACCGTGATTTATACTGTCGGTTCAGGCTAAGTTGAGTGGTCTAAGGAATGTCACCCCGTCCATCATCTCTATGTTCAGGCACAATTAAATACATGTAGTTCGGTAGCCCCTCTGTACTAACAAATGGCAAGCCGCGGCACTGATAAATCATCTTCTTGTTACCGAAATCTCGCGACGATTCGATATTTACTTTAATCAACGGCCACATGATCCCCCACTAAAGCGCTCAACTTAGCCTGAACGGACTGTATATAATTGGGGTATAAATTGTACAGTTTCTACCACAATTATATATAGATAGAAACAATATGCATCTTTAAGACTTAAATCCAGACTAACCTCATTTTTTATTAAAATGCATATAGAACACTATAATTCTCAGGTGACGAAATATTAACATTTCATTAAGTCATACACAAGCTTGATTAGAAACATATTTTTGGACTTCCATTGTCTTTTTTTAAATTTGTCATTATCATCTGAAGACGATTGCAGATACTTAGCAACTGAAACGTTGTGAATTATTCATAAAAAGGACAATGGAAGTCTAAAAATATGTTTCTAATCAAAACACCACATTATCTATCACCTTCAAACAAAAAAGCTTATTGACTTTCATTTTGCAAGCATTGTACAAACAAAACATACATATCACAATACTCAGTGAGTACTACTAACTAAAGAAATTCATATCAATATTTAACAGAAAGGCTATGACATAATCTAATTTTAAATTTTAACTGTCAATCAATGTCTATAGTGTAATGTCAACAGATAACAATCATGAATTGCAATTAATCAAATAATTGTTGTAAAAATCAATCAATTGCTAAACGCATCCAAAAATGCATTTTTTATAAGGTAAAAATAAATTAAAGTATGTAAATGACAATATCTACTACAATGAACGTGGAAAATTACAATATTGTCTGTTTATTTATAATTTAAATTTAACATAACCCCTTCATCCACTTGCTCCTTCAATTGTATCAATATAATAACGGCTATTAACTGTTTGATTTTTAACTTTCCTAACAAGTCTACAGGTCGTTAATATCTATTTTACATTTAATATTAATCCCGCCAAACTTTAAAGTACCGTTATTAAATAAGGGATTTGTTTCAAAAGTTTCCAACTTCGTATAGTAGTTCAAAAGTTAAAGGTCATAAGTTGGTAGCCTGATTTTAGGATCAAATTTTAATAAAAGTTTACGCAATGACAAAAGCGATGTAAAAATTAATTAAAATATACCAAGGTTAATATTTTTATTTAACACGTGGTTTTATATAATTTTTTTTATTTATTTTTTATTAAACAATAATAAATATTATTATTTTAATTTTAGAACAAAAAGGGAATGAAAAAAAAACTAATTGCTCTTTTTGATTTTGGAATCAGTTTTGACCCCCGATAGTAGTTATTTTAGTTATAAGCAATAAAAAAATAAAATACCTTCATCGCAAAGCATTCCTCCCCATCCTTTTTTGCAATTACACTCCCAAGGGCGATGACAGGTTCCATTTACGCATCCCGGATAAGGGAAACACTTTTCACAGTTTTTACCAAACCATCCTACCTTGCACCTATAAAAAAATAATGATGAAAAGGTGTACCACATACAAATATTCAAATTTAAAAAATCGTTAGTTTAAATGATATTGGTATATTTCCAAAAATATTTTGGCAACATTGCACATTTTTGCTACAAGCAAAGGGGTAAGATACCTACAAAATATATAATTAATTTTATTACATACAGTGGCGGCCCGTCAGGGGAGGCAGGTGAGGCAGTGTCTCATCATAGAGAATTAAAAAATTAGTATAATTTAAATATTTTATTTTCTATAATATAAATATTATAAATTTTTAAGATTTGGATTACATGAATTGTGAAATAGTCAATAAAATTGATTGGTTTTATACGTGGAATACCCAGCAACATTTAAATTATTTAAATTTGAAACGACCCCAATTTAAACTAATATTTATAGCTAGATGATTGGTACGCCTGAAATAATTTAGACTCACGATTGGCGGTAGCCTTGTTGTCTCGTTCTATTACAATGCGATATCATAGTTGTCTCCTTCTCTCGTATTAGCATACGCGAGGCAGGCACGCCTACATCCAAGGAAATAAGCAAGTGTTGTGGCAACACTGTTGCGAAATTTTAGATAAATTATACTTCACGCGTTTTTCAAAATTCAATATTAAATGGTATTATTTTTCTTGTAATAAATCGATTTAATCGAAATTATATTTCTATTCTAAAATAAACATATTTTAACACTATTGCCATCTTGTAGCAATCACAGTAACCAATAAAATAAATACAGATTCCTTCTTTAGGTTTGTTTTGGTTATAAAATTCTGAACTGTTTAAAGAACAAATCTGTTATTTACGCAATATTTTGTTTATTTTTTTCTATGAGTTTGTCTATTTTATGATTCTTTTGTAAGTGGTTTATTCTGTGGGTTTAGTTAATTGAACTTGGTGATTTATGTGAATTTAGTCATTATGGATATTACTGCCTCACCAAAATGAAATGTCACGGGCCGCCACTGAATATATAATCACTAAATAAACATTATTTTAGCAAAGCTCTTTTGACATTTAATGTGGGCCACTTTTAAAGCTTGAAAAACATAGTCATAAAATAAAATAAAACAATTTTGACTTTAAATATATTAAAAAAATGATGATTTCCAAACAACACAAAATGTACTTGTACCCCTTGGCTTCTAGGGGCATTCTATACAGGGTTTCACGAAAATAGTGTGCAACCCTACATGGAGTTTCTAAAAAAAATAGGAATAAAACAAAATTTTTAAATTGTTTCGAAAAAGAACAAGCAATATTACTTATTTAATCTTGTTCTAAAATAAAAATTAAGGGTACTTATTACTTGTGCCAATAAATTTATCTACTTTGACCGTTGAAAAAAATAATATTAATTATTTTTTTCAGGAAGTAGAACTTTTCGAAACAGTAACTTTTTTAGTTAAATGTTTAATATAAAACGTTTCCAATATTAGGCTGACACATTGCATAATAAAGAATAAAATGTATATGCATCAAAGGCAAATAAATCTTTTGTTAAAAATTATTTTGCGTAATAATTATAATTATACAATTAAATATTATTTATCATGTTCATTTAAGTGTGGTTTATTTATTTATTAATTAAATTTCAATTTTAATGTAATCTAGGTATATGCATTTATTATAACATATTGTACCTATATAATGTCATTTTTGTTCGAGACATACACAGATATCATTCGTAGGTAATTATTTTGGTTTGAAACAATAAATATAATTAAAATAGGGTTTTAATCAAAAACTTAACTTTATTATTTTAATATTTAATTTTAGGTTGTTCACTTTAACAAAATGTTTAAAAGATAACTTTAGAAATGTAATTCATTAAAGGTATTCTCCATTTTATAGTAATGTTTTTTAGCAAGTTGAGAATTGCTTTACAACAATAATATTAATTTGTTGATTTAATTTAAGCGATAATTTTCTTTGTAGGCTTGCAATTAACAATTAAATGTTGTTTCATCAAAAAACTTATTGGATTAATCTATATTTTGGTGTCAAAGCAATAGTCAGAGTTTTTTTTAAGTTTATTTGTTCATTTGACAGTTAAACTATTGATTTAGCGCTTCGAACACCCACGCCACGTCATTAGACGGTGTTGATCACGTGATGTTCCTACATCTCGCCTCAGTTGGCTTACGATAGAAGTATATAAGCTCAGGTAGCCGTTTTGGGTGTGTTCCACAGTGAAACTTCCACTACAACAAATTGCCCGACACTGATGCGGCCCCCAATATAGGTCGAATCAGCTGTCTGTCGGTAGGTATTTGAAGTATGTGAATCGCACTCAAAACAAAAACTCTTGCAAGGGAAGGTTCAATTCTTTCTCTTTATATTAATTCCATAATTTTGTTTTGAATACCAACCTTTAAAGACTGTTACTTTTACATATTCAGAATGTTAACCCAACATTAGCGCAAATTATTTTAATTTAACATTTTATTGGTGTTAAGTGAATATGCTAAAAAGGTTACCTGGACATTTCAAGAATGTTTAATTAACAAGATTAGCAGATTAGAACAAATATTCTCATTTTGTTCATTTTACTAATATTTGTTGTTCAATTAAACAATACAATTTGTCATTTTTAAATGGTTAAGTAAACGTTCAAAAACCATTGCTTGTATTTAAAGTTGAATTAATATTTTTTGTTGTTGTTCCAACAGCTTATTTTTTTCAGTGTAGTTTTATAAAGTTTGTATGTAACAGGATGCGCAGGATTTGTTCCTGGGGGGCGGTTATCAAATTTCATTAAAAAAATTATATTTTTAGGTTATTTTTAACAAAAACCTCATGCAGACGGGCTTGGTAGAAACCTATTATAAAGTTTTATAAAAAAAATGCTATATCGGGAAATGTTATCCCTTTTCAAATTAATTAACCTCGTTATAAGTTTAAAAACTAATTAATGTGATCTTAATGATTCGTCTTATATTTCTGATCATTAACTAATAACCGGCCGCACTAGAAATGTATAGCATGTAATATAAATACTTTTTTAAAAATTGCATATCCCTGGGTGTGGAATAGTTGCCTTTTTAGGTCAAAATAAACACAAACAAAAATCAGTTCTGTGTAATAATATCTTCAAGTTCCTTTTTAAGGATAAAATTTTGAAGTTTTAATAACATATAAAGTTAATTTTTTAAGGCTGAAAGTAAGAAAGACCCTAGTTATTGTCGATATTAAATGTATTTGGCAGAAAGCTTCCCTTCCAACTATTTCTGACCAAAGAATAAAACAGACAATAAGAGAATATTATGAGAAATATAAAGTTATAAATAAAAAACAGTCCTGTTAAAAAAAACTAAGGTATTTAAAATAGAAAGTTTGCAACTATTCGACATTTTTTGCTGTAAATGCAACTTTTTTGATTCAAGTAACTTTAAAATCAAGGTCAATCAAGGAGAATTTCTTCAAGTCCAGAGAAACCAAAGAAAAATGTTGATAGCATTGATATTAAAACTACAAATAAAATTGTCATTAGAAAGAAAAGAATTAGTAAAAATCAGGTTGAAAAAAAGTAAACAAGAAAAACGGAAAGAGAACTGCATCAAATTTACTGATAATATCGAGGTTGATACAATTATGTCACAACCTTCAACGTCAGTTTTCAGGAATGCCTCAAAAGAGATGACTGGTTTTACCTAGTGTGGCTGAAGCATGTGACAGGAGTGGATTTTCAGACAGAAATGCATCTCTTCTTGTAAATGCTGTGCTCAAAGATTTTGGTATTGGTCAGACATGATCTCGAAATCCCTTAATCCTTGTTTTATGTCTTAAAGAGTACATAATCATAATAAAAGTCTTGTAAGAGCATTAAATTGCCCATATACAGTAAGTAGTTGCCTATATACAGTAAGTAGTTCAGTGTATTAGGTAAGTAAACTATGTGCGAGTTAGTGCTAATTGACATTACATGTGAAGGGAAAATTACTATACCTGTCACCCGCTTTCATTATAGTGAAAATAGTGGCACTACCCGGTAGATTCAGTGTCGTCTCCTAAAATAGGATGGACGGTCAAGTGAATAGCAGCAATAAACAATAGCCCAAAACCGCATTATTTTATTTGCATTTATTACCAATAATCTTGCATTTCCTATTAACCCTCTTAAATGGGTTAAGCTTTATCAACGACGTTAGCAGAGATAAACGTAAATTCTATGTAATTAGAAATCGGTACAAAAATTCTAGAATTAACAGTGTAAAATAGATCAAGTTCCAAACAAAGAATGAAACGTCAGGTGATAAAAACACTAAGCAAACAGTCGCAATAGACTGCAGGCATGGTAAAAATAAAGTAAGAGCTTCAGGCATCCAGCCATCAACATTAAAAACGAAAACACACACCCGTAAAAAGGACAATATACTGACGACAAATTCATGTATTACACACAGTGCACAGTGCCCCATGGGTTATAATTTGTGTATATCTGTTCCCTATATTTTCAGTTTAGAAAAATAAAGACCTGGCTAATATTCCTAAATCTTCTTTGAAGTCAGTACTTGGATAAAGCAATTAAATCATCCTTAAATTGACCTATTTACATATTATGTACAACCCGACGTAATACCGTAATACGTAATACTAAATACTAAAGACAACGGTTTGCGCACAGTAGAGCAAATAATTTGTTTTATATTTATCAGCATAGTAAAATTACGACTGTCTGAATCTTCTAAGAAGTCAGCATTGACAATGAAGGACAAGACGTAGACTGCTAGGAAAGATAGTGAACTAACAACAACCCAAATGCAAACTGTAATCCCAACTGGTTGTAGTAATACTAAGGTGAAGGGGGATTCCGCGCTGTACACAGATTGGTGTCGAAATTGACCCCAAAAGGGTATCCTCCCTATCCCGACCTTCTTTATGATCCTACTGGGCGTATAGCAACAGCCCGGCTATTACAAAATATTTGCCCTCGAGCCTCAAATATAGTACAGTATGGTACGCGGTGGACATTCGCACCCAACAAACACAGGTAAAGCCTTGCAGTAGCTGGTGGCGAAAAAAACGACGTTTATTAACGGATGATTTTGCAGGGCTTGGGAGAGATGAGGCAATGGGGCCTATTAAAATAAAGGGGTCCATGCATATATTAGACATTTGATTATTTGCGTACATTTTTAATTACTTCATAGATTGCTTATAAAGTTGGTTTTATTTGACTTCACCTATTTATATATGGGTAATTCTTTTACAAACCGAACACCTTTTGACCGACACATCTCAGATTTGGCTGAAACTTCTTTTACGGATTCTATGTCGAAAAATAAGAGATACGTGTCCGAGGAATTTTTTTTCTCTCGCATATTTTCGATAATACAAGCTATCTAAAATTTGAGAATAACGAGTTTTTTGCCTTGGAGACTCATTTTCAAAAATTTATAACTCTGGTTCTATTTAAGCTACAAACTTCTTTTTTTTCATTTTAAAGCTAAAGGACTGAATTTTGATAAAAAATATTTTTAATAAATATTATTAACAAATTCATATTGTTATTAACAATTTCATTGTTTAAATCAATTTTAACAATGGCCCCCAACTCGTATTAAGTTTTTAGTATTTTTATCGTATTCTCCGTCAAATTTTACATAAAAAACATGATTTCAAAATATGGTTCCTTTTTTATTACTATTGTTAAAACATTAATTCATATTGCGCGACACATAAAAAAACGGTTTTTTGTTAATAAAAAGAAAACTATAGCTCGCATCAAAAAAAGTTAAATATAAAAGTTGTGGATAATAAAAAGATCTACAATTTTTATTAAAACTATTTTTCGAAATAACCTCACTTTTCAAATTAATTGAAAAGAAGAGTTATAAATTTTTGAAAATGAGTCTCCAAGCCAAAAAAACTCGTTATTCTCAAATTTTCGATAGCTTGTATTATCGAAAATATGCGAGAGAAAAAAAATTCCTTGGACACATATCTCTTATTTTTCGACATAGAATCCGTAAAAAAAGTTTCAGCCAAATCTGAGATGTGTCGGTCAAAAGGTGTTCGGTTTGTAAAAGAATAACCATTACCTGCATATGTGCAGATAAATATAATTACAATGTATGTTAAAGTTTGGTTCATTTACAACTAAATCTTAACGGCCCCTTTGTTGTTTCCCCCACAGAACTTAAAACTTTCAGCATGCACAAATTAATAAATGTAATGCTTTTATAGAAGTTGATATTTGGCCATCTAGTATTGTATTAAACAGCTGAATATTTAAACTATGCAATTAAACAGTTTGTGTAGGGTTTTTCCTTATTTGATTTTTTTATTTTAAATAATATGCAACCTTAATAAGGGAGGACAACCACGCCTTGTATTTAATGTTAATAAACCATTATGAATGATAATTTTCTTGTATAAGCAACTCGGCACGTAATTACCTGTGATTATTTTATTTTATTTTTGCCTTGATCCAGTTTTTTTCCCTATAATGTTTACGGATTATTGTCATCGATTAACAACTGGGTGCTTAATTATTTATATGTATTTATTGATTAAAAACAATGACGTTTTGTCATCAATATTTTTTCACAGAATTCTAGTTTTAAATTTACCTTATAAATTATTTCACCTGATTGTTATGTTGAAAATTAAGGATTATAAAAAAAATTCAACACTTTGTCAAAAAATATTTCACACACTCTCTTAAAATAATATAGGTAGTAAAAATTGACTAAATGATTAATCTTATTTTACTAATTGTATTTTACTACCGTATTTAATAGTCAAATTAGTGGATTTAAATTTAAAAACTTTTGATCCAGCAGGGGTTTGAACTCAGGTATGTTGTTTGCCAAGCGGATGTCTAACCGATGCGCCACCGTACCTAAATAATGCAGTCATATGTGGTATATAATATACAAATTTTGTCTAACATAATTTACAGTGCTTTAATTAAATTTGCAAATACCTTGTTTCATACCTACAATGTAGTAGTAAATTAAATTGGAAAATTTAAATATGAACAAGCATAACCTTTGTTAGTGATGAAATTTGAAATATAATTTCATGATGTAGCTAATTAAAATAAATAAATGTTATTACATTCTTAACTTACCTACATTCTCCAGGTTTCCTACAATAACCCCTTTCCTTGTGACATGTTTTGGAACAGATTGCTAAAAACGAAATAATAAAAATTCAATATTTTAAATTCTACTCTTTGTCAGATTATTTAAAATGCATACCCTTGATGTTATATATTTCTACAATCCAAATGGTTATATCATAATAAATCTAAGGAAATAGCATTGTAAACGATACTCAACAATAAAGCATTTTTTCTTCGCTTGATATAATAAAGTATAGTGTTTCTGTCAGGCAACGAAAGAGTTTAGAACGTAAATTTGACCATGATAATTTAAAAATGTCGTAACTTGTATAGTCTGTTTATTTTAGTTGCATCCTATAACTTTTGGGTTAAGCATAGTTTTAAAATAAAAAAACCCTTTGTTTTATTAAAAAAACTTAAAACTTTAATAAATCAAATAAACCCCCCAAAAGAATTTTGAAAGTGCTCAAAACTTCTAGCAACACTGACAACATCAGTTTTTTTTTAAATATTTTGAGAATTGCATTTTTTTTACAATTTTTAAATGCCATTTTAATAGACTTATAATCACGCAACTTTTCTCTAATTCAACCCTGTATAATATGTGATTTGAACGTCCAAATTAATTGCACAGGGATTGTTAATTAATAATATTAAAAAAACAAGCTCTAACGTCTATCCCGTGATATGTTGTTTTGGGAACTTAATTAAACTGCGCTTTGTCATGAAATAATGAAAATATTATTACAGTCTCTAGCGCTATAGCATATCCAATTTACACTTTTCTACAAAAAAGGCAATAAGAAAACTAAAGTTAATGAAAAGAAAGCTATTGAAGTTTTTAAAACTGCGTCCTTATAGTTTCAAATGTTTATATTCTTTTATGACATAAACATTTGAAATTGTAATTAAGTGTATTTAGTTTGAAAACCATTTAAGTTAATTTATTTTTTAATAAATTTAGAATTTAACGTAAGGTAGTTTTATCAATTCCTGATTTCAAGGTTTCAGAGGCAATCAACTCTTGTTTTATTTGGACGAATTTCGATGGTTTATGTGTTTGGAATGATTCTGATAAATCCACAGGGAAATCAAGTTCTTCAAATGTACTTCACGATTTTTTTACTAAGTATACTTTATTTATTAGTGTACGTATTGATTTTCAACATAAAACTATATATAGGTCTTTTATATTGGTCACCTAGAAACACAATTAGAAACTTTGTTTTAAGGATCTCGTTGTAAAAAAATAACTCAACGACAAGAGACATTGTTTTACAAGGAATCGTAGAAAAGAGAAAAGTTTTATTATTTAAGTTTGCAACCTTTGCTATTGTTTGATTTGAAATTATTTTTTGTTATCTATACCTATAACCCTTTGAAGCCAACTCTTTTTGCATAAGAATATTGGTTTAATATTCGCACATGAAAACTCTTCTCAAAATGTTTTGGTTTCATCCGTAGCAGTTAAAAATACTTTTACCAATTAAAATATTTTACAATTTAATGCCATCTTTAATCTTAATTAAAAATAACATATTCCAGAAATGTTCTCTACTAATCTACGCTATTAACGCTTTCATTTTAATTCAATATTATTAATTATAAAGCAAGAATGGGTAATTAGAAATATATGGGTCGTTTTTAAATATTTAGGATGTCTTTTTTATGTTTAATAATATTTTTAATCAAAATAGGCATTTTATAATTGAAATAAGAAATATGTATTTAATTGATTCAAAACGGATTTTTCTAAATGGTAATTTTAGTTTAGAAAAATGGAAAAAGTAGATAAGATTCATATCAAGAGAATATGAAGAATATGAAAAATATGCTTTAACTCGTTTCGATCGTATTTCTAACCTAACCTTAAAAAATTATAAAAGCTAAAACAAACATAATCCAGTTTATATTCTCCAATTTTAAATAAATTATAATAAAATTTTATTTCTTCTTTTAAGTTACAGGGTAATTTTATAAAGCATACTCCAATTTTTAAGTTTTTTTATTCGATAGTGAATGTATGCAAAATTTGTCTACTTTTTTATTATTAATGTTTATTACACTATGATAGTTTTAGAAACTTTTTTTTCCAAACATTGAGTACTCCAGCTTAGTTTAACTAATTTTGGGGCTCAGATTTCAAAAATGTCATTTGTTTTTCTCTAGGACGTCTAGGATATAAAATAATTTCGTAATAAAATGCTCTGCTCAATCACCTCAAAATTTAAATTTTCTTGTTAGTATTTTAATTATTTATTAAAATATTATGGCTTAAATTTATCTTAAATGTACTGAATTAATTGGTATACGGCATATAGATCATATTTATCTCAACAATATGACATTTTAAATACTAAAATTAAAATTTTAATGTATTTTATGTAAAAAAAACAACAAGTAAACAAGTTTCGCTATTTTTTATCCAAAATAAGCCCACAAAATTTGATGCATTGTATAATTTTGCTTTTTTCTACCTTAAATTTATTAAATATCGAATTGAATTATAGTATTATTGTGCTTAATCCTAACCATTGTCGTCCATCTTTTGCTGCAAATTGCAGCAAATGTTTCTTAGCAAAGAATCCAACTTCTTTTCGCTATACCCATTAGGGTGTCATTTTTAAGCAACTTTTTTTTCAACTAAAAAACAGGCTAAAAACTTCCAGGAAGGTGAAAAAAGAGACCTCTAAAAATTTGAGTTCTTAATATTAACATTAAGTGGTGCCTGTTCCTAACTTTCCATTTTCCATTTAAATAATATGGAAATTTTTTTTATTTTTTTTATTTTTGTAGCTTGACATTGGAGCATTGTAAAAACGAAAATTATTTTGGTAGGAAATTGAACGCTCTACAAAAAAATTTCAATATATTTTTTCATAGAGTGAGCCGTTCTGAAGGTATTCAAACTTAAAGTTGCCTTTAACATTTCGAATCGCGGCACGTTAGCGTGCCTCTAGTCACTGTGTAATCCGAACGGAATATACCGACTGAGCCGATATAATCTTTTATCAGAGTTATCGACTTTAAAATTAAAAAAAAAGAAAGATTAAAAATTCAATACAATAAAAAATTCATTGTTTTATTTAATCTATTATAATTATTGAACAAATTTATTGAACACAAATAACTTTTTTTGATAGTAAGTGTTATTTTCTTTCTATACGAAAATAATTATTTTTTCTTAAAATAATTTTTAAGACATAAAAAAGTATTAGTTTAATAAAATAAAAGTCATAATTTCATACATTTGCAAGTTTGAATACCTTCAGAACGGCTTACTCTATGAAAAAATAAATTAGTACTTTTTTGTAGAGCGTTCAATTTCCTACCAAAATAATTTTTCAGTTGGTTTTTACAATGCTTAAATGTCAAGATACAAAAATAAGAAACAAGAAACAATTTTTTTTCCATGTTATTTAAATGGAAAATGGAAAGTTAGGAACAGGCACCACTTAATGTTATTATTAGGAGCTCAAATTTTTAGAAGCTTCTTTTTTCATCTTCCTGAAAGTTTTTAGCCTGTTTTTTAGTTGAAAAAAAGAAGTTGCTCAAAAATGACACACCCTAATACCCATAGAAATCTACCAATGCTCTAGATTTGCAGTTACTTGGTGAATCGTTCTCCATGTTCATCAGTTCGGCAAATATATCAGGATGAAAAAAAAAATGTATTTTAAATGACATATTAACGTTAATTCTTTACAAAATCGAGAGCATTTTTTCAATGAATTGGCGCCAATTTTATGCCCGTATAAACCAAGAACATTTTCAATGACAGCTTTAACACTGCCATATGCGACAAGCATAGATGGTTTATGGCGACAAGTTCGTCAACTTTGAGAGCATTTTTGAATGCTTGATCTTTTATTAAACGTCGTATATGTCCATTTTATATTCCTGCAAAATTAAAGTAGTAGGTATATCTCATAAAATTTTGACGACATAAAGGTTCGTCTCCTTTCTCTTTCTCTGCCACTTCCATTACCACTTCCATTTCCTGCTCTTTTTTCATTTTTGGTTCTTAATATAACTTTCAAGTAAAAATACAATTTAAAGTTTAAATTTTAAATGTCAAAAATTAATAGATGGACTTTAATGTTCTTGAACGATAAAGTAGTAAAGTCGCCTTTATACTTCAATTCGATATTAAATTTTGATAAGACTTAATTAATAAGATTGGAAATTGAATTTTTGGGTACTTTAGGCATGATGTGAATAAACTAAATATCAAATAAAAGTCGAAGAGTAATGTTTATACCGAAACCCATTTACTTTGTTGCCTTTTTAATTTAATTAGTAATTAAAAAACGACACAAAAATTTCAAAAAATGATACTTTTTACTAAAAAAACATTACCTATAATTTTAGTTTTAGTTTTGGTATTTAATACTACTATAGCCAACAAAAAAAAAATTCTATTTGTCATTTATCTATCGATGATTTTGTATGGAGTCCCTGTATATTTTTGACAAAAAACGTCAAAAAGATACTGAACATCATAGAGAAACCCATTTACTTTGTTGCCTTTTTAATTTAATTAGTAATTAAAAAACGACACAAAAATTTCAAAAAATGATACTTTTTACTAAAAAAACATTACCTATAATTTTAGTTTTAGTTTTGGTATTTAATACTACTATAGCCAACAAAAAAAAAATTCTATTTGTCATTTATCTATCGATGATTTTGTATGGAGTCCCTGTATATTTTTGACAAAAAACGTCAAAAAGATACTGATCATAGAGAACATCCAAAATATATTTAAGGCAAAATAATTTAATAAATAATCAAAATATTAACGAAAAACTTACATTTTGATATAATTGGGCAGGGCATTTTATTACGCAACTATTTCTAATCCTATAGACATCCTGGAGAAAAACGAGTGGCATTTTTGAAATCAGCATCCCAAAATTAGGTAATATAGGTGGGCGTACTCAATGTTAACTAGTAATTCGAACTATCATAGTGTTATTATGTTTCAATTTTTAGAGGTTAGGACGAAATATCGAATCAAACTAACCCTGAATTTGGATTTAGCGACCTTAAAAAGGTATAGAAATGTTTGTTTAGTTTGATGGATACGGGTTTTCCTTCTTTCATGTGTCTGTGTTATCAATATATATGTATAGTACTAATGGTTTTTTATAAAACTTTCAGGTAGAAAAAAATCTTTCTTAAATTGTATACATATTTTTTTTCACCATTTACCTGTTTTGTCTTGTCTTTGTATGACTTGTACTAATAGGTAATAGACGTTGATTAATTAAACTAGCTAATCTAAACAAATTAGGTACTTGATTTATCAACTAAATATATTGCTGTTTTCATAATGTAAAAAATACTATTTTACCTTACATTTTTGTGTGTAATCTAGGTACAAATCCAAAAAGTATAGACAATCTAAACCTATCTTTAACAATATTATCCTTACGTGTTTGACAAAGTATTCCAGTATATCCTCTCATACATTTACACTCCAACGGCTTATCGCAGTACCCATTTTGACATCCAGGTAAGACTTGACAATCGCGGCATGTTTTGCCTGCCCATCCAAGACGACATCTACAGTCTCCTGGAGCATCGCAGTAACCTCTAGTGGAATGACAATCTGGTCTACAAGTGGCTGTTAAAAATAATTTTATATATAAATTTTACAAGTACCTACTTAGCTAACAAACATTTAATTTATTTATTGTGTAAACCCTTTATAATTATTTATGTTCAGAAGCTTAACATTGTTAGGAAATTGTTTATTGTTTTAATTACATTTTAGCTCATTAACTGTTTTCTACGAACTTTGTAAATGCAAAAGTTTTATTGTTGACCTGAAGTATTGTTTCAAAAATATAATGCTCATATTATTGAATTGACCTAAATGTTCACAACTTTAAATGTGCACTTTTGTATTTACTAATACCTATATTTAGAAAGTTTTATGAGTCTATTTTTATGAAATCAAATTTTGAAAACAATAACATTTAATAAATATTTTGAAACATTCTTATTTTCATTAAATAACCATTTTTTTAATTACCTTTAAAACAAAACATACTTTTGATTGCCAATGGAAGCATTTATTATAAATTTGAATATCGAAATATTATTAAAAAAAATTCATCTATCAGATTTAAAATCTCAATAATGGAATGACAATTTTGCATTGTTGTTTTAAACCAATAAGATTATAATTGGGCGATACTTTGACCAAGTGCATTCAATTCTCATTTTCTTTATGTTTCCATACTAAGAACAACATTGGCAGACATAATTTCAGATAGGTACCCCTTTGTTTATTTATAAAACATTACATTCCATTAAGATTCAAGTACCTATTACAACCAAGAGTATACCAAAATATTGATTTCGCTGTTATGTTTTCTTTTTCTATTGACCATTTTAGCGTCAAACTCTCCTGTGAAAACGACGTAGTTTGTAACATAGTATACATACAGCATTATGAAAAATTACACATGACTATCAGAGGCTCTGATTCAGAGCTAGGCTTTTAATGTGGTCAATCGCAATTTTATTTTGGCCAAACTGCATTATTAAAATTTTGATGTGAAGATGATGAACTGGTTCTGTGATTATTATAAAGTGATTAAACATAGTAAGGTACATTGGTATGCACATGATACTCAAATCTACAAATCAATCACTATCAGCGACTATCAACTCTGCAATCACACAATGATATAAAGATCTTAATCTAGGTGTTTTAATTGACTGTTATTTAAGCCTTGAATCTCATGTAAAATATTATTTAAAAGAATGCGTATTTTAAGTTTAAGTTCATGTATAAGTATTTTTGTCAAAATTTGATGTTAAATGGAAATCATGGACTGTCTTATTTTAAGTCCTTTTAATTACTGAAGAAGGTAGCGTCTATTTTAGGTTAAAAACAAGTGTTGAAAAGCGACTTTTTTATGCGAGTGTTGAAGTTGCTCACGAGGCCACCAGGCCGGGTGTGCATTAACACGAGCTTGAAGAAAGCTTTTCTCACAAGTGAAACACAATGTGTTTTCTAGGACCCTTTTATTTTTTATTATATTCAAATACAAAATAATATAACCTAAAAACGTGTTTGACACATAGATGACATAGATGACAGCTGTTAAAATTACTTTCATCTTATTCTTTTAATTTTTAAGGTATAAGTTACTTAAAATCAATAAACTTACCTTCTCAATTTAAATAAAAGCCTTAAAATTGGAATTTATTATACAAACACAATTAATTGTGTTCTAAATGATATTTAGACATACACACAATCCACACAACAAGGTCTGTTCTATCTCGTACTAAAAATACAAAAAATCACTGCAACACTGCACAGTTTAACGGCGGCCATTTTTGTTGTTTACAATTTTTGTGCTTTGGGTTTTTGCTTTGTTTATACAGATTAATAATCGTTTTAAACGCTGTGCTTCTCATAGCCTTAAAAAGGTCTTAAAAGAGGCCTTAAAGTGCTAAGAACAACCATTTTACTCCTCTATTGTCTGTCATAAAACTGTCAAATCTTAATTTTAAGGTTAAATTATAACCCACAAATTAACCTTCAAATTGTCATTTGACAGCCCTAATAGAATATGGTATATTTATTATAAAAGAGGAGTAAAATGGTTGTCATTAGCTTTTAAAGGCCTTATTTGGTGCTTACAAGTGCCTTTGTAAGAAACCCAACGTTTAAAACAATTATTAAACAGCACAAACCCAAAGCACAAGAATTGTAAACAACAAAAATGGCCGCCGTTAAACTATGCAGTGTTGCAGTGATTTTTAGTATTTTTAGCATGAGATAGAACAGACCTTGTTGTGTGGTTTGTGGACATACATATCCAAATACAATACAAATTTTGAAACGAATGTCAAACGATGCTGTCAATTTCTTTTCACGAAGACCTGTAACTTTTCACACAGAAATCTCACTTTATATTCGTGTTTTGCCTTGCCAATGAAAAGATTAATTTTCTAAGCAACGATGCCATTACGAAATGTGACTTTTACATAGTGGTAGTAGAATAAATACATTTTACTTATTTATACGATTTACAAAACAAATGTGCATGTAATTTAATTTATTTAATTTTGCCAATTGTTTCAGTACACTGTGAAATCTTTAGAATGTATTAAAACTAATAATTATGTGAGTTTATATAACACAATATAAAACATTAAGTTTTGGATCTACCTAAACAATATTTGCGTGATACATTGAAAGAGAGTAATAATGGGAAAAACCTAATTTATTGTAGAACAATATATTTCTATTGTGGGAATAATAATAAAATTCCAATAAATTTAATACTTAAATGTGAATTGTTGGTTTCAATTCAATCATGTAATACAATAAAAGATTGTTTTAATTTGTTTATTTCCATTGATTTAGTTTTTTACCTTTATTTTCTTCATAAAGAATTTACCAAAATAGGATGACTGACTGGCCTTGATATTACTCCCTTGGATTTCTTTAGGTGGGTGTACCACTTTATACATGTTTTTGTTATAGTTTTTTGAAAAGGGACATTTACTCTGGATCACTTTGTATTATTACATTGTGCTTTGTAATCAAACTTTAATATTAGTTTAACTTACGTTCAGAACAAAATAAACCATCCCAGCCTGGCTTACAGATACACTCAAAACTAACATTGCAATAACCATGCTGACATCCTGGTAGAGGGATGCATTTGTTACACTTATCTCCGTAGTAACCAAGCCTGCATAAACATTCACCCGGTCGGTTGCAGTAGCCTTGGAATGGATCGCATCCCGGTCGACATTTGGGAACGTCGCATAGGTCGCCAGTCCATCCGGGTAAGCATTTTATTTCCCCGTCGTCTGTGCATATGTAATGGGAATGTTCCGTTTGGGAGGAGGGAATCTCGCAAGCCTAAAATGTATATAAAACATATAATGTTTTCTGGCATAAATTTTAGAATAGGAAAACTTCGTTTCTGTAGGTTTAGAAGAAAAGGTAACCTTATAGTTAAAAAAAGTTAACTTAAACTTAAAACTATCCTTTTAAATACCAAATTTGCTTTGTATACAGCTGTATTTATATTTTGTATTGTATTCAAATGTCAAGGTGAGACTTTTGAATACAAATAGTTAAGGTTATGAATTTGTCAGTTTAACGTTTAACTTCGTCTTATTTTTTGAAAATAATACAATATAATAAGTAATATAATATGTAAGTTTTGTGTAGAGGTGAAAATTTTGAGTATGGAGCATAATACGTCAAACACAATGTCACAACATTTTTAATTTCATATTTTTACAGAAATGTTTATGTAAAAACAAAAGAAGGTATATAATTCGAATACAAAAGCTCAAATTAATTGTATAGTATGTATCAAATTTGATAAACGCCATTTTATTCACAAATTTTTATTGGGCACTAGCGAGCGAGTTTATAATTAAATGAGTGTCTAGAAAAGTTTATAAACGAGTTGCATACTATACTTTTTCTACGGCAAATACTTATTATTGTCTAAAAACGATTTAAATTAAATATAACTTGGAAATCTGTATTCCGGTGCGTCGATCAAAATTTCAAATTTGTAAGTGTAAATCGAAATGTATTCCTTAAAAATGGACTAACATCCGTTTAAATCTGATAGAAGCAGTTTTTCACATGTGAAAAACTGCAGTGAAGATAAAGTTTTAGGGGAACTTTACGGTGGAACCTCCAAATTTTTAATGCGTTATCATATAAATCTAGTTTACTGCCCGCAAAATCAAAAGGTCAGTATACGTACATATAAACTTTTCAAATAGGTATTAGCGTTGATAAACTACTCGTATTTAATACTTTTGTATTTTTGTTTAAAGATAAGTCCACATTATTATTTCACAAGAAGGTTACTTTATTTTAAAGATTGAATGATATTTGATATTTGCAAATTTTCGTTAAATGTACCTTTGCTGTCCCCAGCTAATTTTATTTTTATGTTTGACTTTTGTTGATAAGTTTTGTATTTATTATATTTAAATAACCCCTTCCTGTTAGGACCCATCATATTTTTTTTTAATTACTTTGTGTTTCTATATATAGCAGAAAAAAAAGGTGAAATGTCCTGTAACCTAACTATCCCCAGAGGCAATTTTCTAATTTAAATTATTATATTCTTCTTCTTTGCATCTTTCTTCTGAAATAATAAATTATTTTTGAACAATGGAAAGTTCTTTTTCTTCTAAACTCTATCTTTTAAACTATCTTTCTACAAAGTAGTTTAAACAGAAAAAAATATTAAAGTTGACATTGAAAAATCTTGCCTTTTTCCTAACGTCGTCTATGCCGACTGCTTCGAAATAGAAAGACGAGATAGAGATACTAGCGGTATATTTCTAGAGGGCATCCAGTTTGATAATTCGGCAACAACAAGTGAGCACGTGTAAAGTGTGTGCATTTTTTTGTAAATATTTTAAGGGTTAATTTTTTTTGCGTACACTTTTTGGTGTCTTTTACAAAACGCTACATACAACTCTTGTTTTAGAAGTTACCATTTTTATTTTCATTTTGTATTATAGCATAGTAGAAATGCCAAACAAATGCCGAAAGATATTTACATTTAACAGTATTTCTAAAAAATAACGTTTAAAAAAGTCAAAAGCAATGTGTCATAAAACGTTCAGGAAGATGCGTTAGGAGGAGGACAATGTTTCATTTCTTCCTTATGTTCCTTCCCTATTTCAGATTAACCCTAAAAGTTATATTTCTTTAAAGTTTATTTTTGTTATTTATAAACGTATAGAATTTTTTTGCAGTCTATTACACTGTTCTATCACAAAGAAAAAAAATCGATCAAATTGACCTGCCTGGACAAAATATATATAAAAAATGTACATTTAACGAAAATTCGCCCATTTGTCAACTAACTTCAGCCCGTGACTAAAAACCTGTTGCTATCTTTAGCCCGTGACTAAAACGCCATAAAGCCACAACAATGTCTATTTAAAAGATCACTTAGTGTCATGAAAACAGGTACGTTAATGGGAATTTTATTTATAATAAATAGGTGGGAGTAAAAAACAATTATTTAATTAAATTAAGTGTTAGGTTTAATGAGATATACAACCTCCTTTACGCCATCTAGTACGTAGTACATGCACTAATCTTTAAATATTTTAAATTAAATTTTATTTTATGGAGGTTGCAACCGGTAGTATAAAACAAATTAGGCAAGGAAAATTTAGTAGAAAACTGCAATGTAAAAACAATTTAAAATATTTTCACCCGTAATATTAATATTTTCGAATTGAAACCGAGCTGCAGGACGAGTGAAATGTGCTGCTTCGGTTTCAATGAGTAAATATCATCGATAATTAATCATACCACAAGTTATATTTAGTGAGAAAATATAATGAATTTAAGTATTTAACGAATTATCAGTTTGACATTTGAAATTAAAATGTGCTTTAAAATATAAAAAGAGTTTAATAAGCCTTATTTATTCAAACTTACCTTAATTTTATTATCGTTTAAACCAACCCATCGATCTTTTAGAGTTTATAATTCATTATTTGAATTATTTAACAAACACAGTATTTAAATGTCAACAAATTTCAAATCAAGAAAAGTGTCAAAATCCTTAGCAACGTGTAAACAAGGTGATAAAAAATATTGTCGCTGTGATAAAATGCGTAACCATGGAATACTGGCATTTTATTGGTTCTCATTACAATGAATTGTATTGTCATAAGTATTTACTTAATTTTTATTTTCTTAAATCATATTTTGATTTTGTTTTACCATAAATGTAAATAACATTTATGTTATATTTTTTTCTACCTGAATATGTAAATAGTTACCATTTAATTTCTCATCCTGTAATTGGACAGTAAGATGATGTATTTTAATAAATAAATAAAAAAGGCACTTATAATTACATATTACAAAACACTTTGTTCTTGTTGGGTGAAATATAATATCCAACCTAACAAAATATTAACTCAATACCTATGTTCTTTCTTTTCTTCTAAGCCTTACGGTTTAGTCTTTATAAGAAGCAGTTATTTTTCTTTGAAGTACCAAGTCTATAAAAATGGAAAAATGATTATGACTTTCAAATGCATTTCCACCCCATAAAGCATTGCTGTAGTAATGTTTTTCCTTCTAAACTTAACTGCGCTTTTATAAGCCATTATTCAAGATTAAAAATCGTTTTTAAATTGTCTATCTATATTTTATTAGTAATAAATTTATATTAATAGATAATCAATCGAATATAACATATCGATACATTCTATCATTTTATTTGCGTACGAGTCATTCCATATAAAAACGTGCATTCGGTGTGCTGGATGGTTTTGGATTTTGATAACAAATTTAAGGATGATCTTTTAATAGGTATCAAATATAAAAAACCACCCCATTTTAATTTGTTGGTGTTTTTAATTTTAAGTTATACAAATCATTTTCATAGGTACCCCTTTTTGTTGAGCTGCAACTTTTTTTATTATAAAAACTTTGATGATTAAAATTTTATTTAACTGACATGTGAGTTCTCATTATTTATTGTTTTTTTGTTCATTCTAACAATAAACGATGGAACAATAAATAATAGTTATAGGTAATAAGCTAATTTTTGCAATTTTCAGAAATTTTAAATTTTTTATTTTTTTTCTCCACCCAAAGATTTTAAAGGGCAAAGTTAGCTTATTAATTTTCATACTTTCAAATTTTAAGATAAATAAAAATCCAACTTTTAAAAAAATCGATACCTATTCTTTTATACCAAGTATGTTTTTTTATTGGAAGATCTACATGTCTGGTCAAATTGGAGAAAAGTTGCGTAATTACAAGCCAAATAAAATGAAACTTATAAATTAAAAATATACAGCGTTTCTCAAAATATTTGAAATTAACTAAAAATCTTTAAAAACCAAAAATCGTTATCCAAATTTCGTTGGTACTATATTTTGATTTACCATCTCCACCTTTTGTTTTTATAACCGCCGCCATAACTTATGTACTTTGATACATCGTTGGATTGCTTATTTTTTTCTATATAACCAAGTAAATTCCAATAAGAAAAACAAAAAATGGTGATGGTACCTAAAAATCTAGTAGGAGAAAAAAATTACAAATTGGATAAAACACTTAAATACATGTGTATGTTTACATGGGAAACTAACTTTTTTTAAAAATTCCCAGAAATAACAAAATTATAACGATTTTTGGTTTTGACAGGTTTTCAGTTTTTCTTTAATTATTTAAGAACTGCTGATTTTGTGCCATTTTTTTAATGCCATTTACTTCGTTATTACGCAAGTTTTGTCTTATTTAACCTACCTTGTAGATCTTTAAATAAAAAAAATTCACCATACATAGAAAGATACTCAGAATTAATTCCAAAAAAGTCAGCTCTCCAAAATAGTAGGGCTGGCACAGAATCCATCAGCGGTTTTTTGTATTTAATGTCTAAAAGATCATCTTTAATTTGTTTATCAAAATCTGAAACCACGCAGCAAACCTATTGGACGTTTTCATATGGAATGACTCATACATTTTTTTATAAAACGATAATATTTCAATATCCATATTACTTTTACATTACTTTTTCACTATTTTTATAAATTGTTAAAATATTTAATATAGAATCAAATCATGACATTGTATTATTTAAAATAATTTATTTTTAATTAACGTTTCTATTTTTTTAAATAAAATAAAAATAATAGAAATGTCCTAGTAAACTAAGTGGATTTTTAATATTATGTGATAAATATATTGTTTTAAACAATTAAAAGATAATTTTAAAACATCAATTATAAATATGAACGAATGAATCAAGAAAAAACAAGGGTGGAAGAAAAAGTGATAGTGTTAAATATAAAGTATAAACAATATTCCCTTAATTAACTCCTTATTATGTTGATAAGCCAGTTAAGTAGATTTTATGTAAGCTAAAGGCCATTACCTCCGAACACTGTCCTATAATCACAAATGCCTAGGCGGTAAATTTTGTATTACATTTTTCTAAAGAGGGCTCTGAAATAATATGTTAAATTAAAATTAAAAAAAAATAATATTTTTAGGATTGTAACAAAAGCTGTATAAAATAATCGGATTTATAAAATTTTATATTGGCTAATTATAAATTAAATTTTAAATAATAAATTTAATTTCCCCTAGTATGGATTTCTGCAGAAAGTTATATCTAACTGTGTATAGCAGAGACAACAGAGAGAGAGACGATTTTTTAAATAGGGATGTTAGTAAACAATTTAAATGTGCGGGGCTGCAAACACATTTCGGTTTCTGTGCATTTGTTGTCAGCCCTGCACAAAGGCGCAATTCTGTTGTTTACTGTCGTCTGTCAGTAAATACTAAGTAAATTCAAATATGCTAAATATATTAAATATCTAATTTGATTCGATTAGTTTTTAAAATGTTTTTTGTGTATGTTTATTTCATATTTTAATATTATTTATGTTCTGATATTTTTATAATATTTTTGTCCTATTTTTTATAAATTGTTTGTTTTCAATGTTATTTTTGAGACTGTTTTTTATTCGTTTATTTGTTGTGAATAAAATAGTTTTGATGTCAATGCTATGTAATTGAAAACAAAAACAAAAATTTAATATAAATTTAAAAATACCGCGCAAAATTTATTTGAGCTGGTTTTCGCAGTCCCAGGCGAGGGCGCCATATTTATTGTTTCCAATATTTATATTTATATGGGAATCGTTCGCCTCTCTCTTGTCTCTGGTATGTAGATGTCGCTGCGGGCTGTCTGTTTCGTAGATGAAATGCAAGTCAAAATGAAACAATTTTAAAAATCAAAATTTGCCCTTCACATTTTTAGTATTGTTTTGCAGTCACGTTGTGTAGGAAGAAAAATACCTTGGAAGAATGTCACTGCCTAGGTTTACAATATACTATTTTCTATAGGCTAAAGAAGTATCGCTAGTAAACTACGGTACCTCTTTCAAACGCGTACATTACAAAAGAGTGTTTTTAGGATAAGGCCGGTAAATGTTAAAAATATCGAGAAAAAAACTGTGAACGATTTATTGTGATGTCTGGTGTTTTTCTAGAGGAAATCCGGAGTAGATTTTTACCGGTTTCTCGATAAACAAGGGGAATCCAAATGAAGAAATTAATTGCACATCAATTGTACTTAGATACAAAATATACACATTTTTTAATGATTTAGGTGAAAATTGTAATCATTTAAATTCAGTAAAAATCATAAAACACAATTTAAAATAAATTTTACCTGGTGTAAATTGAACTCCTTTTCAGTGTTAAATATTATGTGTTTTTGGTCGAAATTAATCATGCTACACAGAAAAAAAGGAAAAAAAAGGAAGTTCCTTGATGCATTACTAGTATATTACCAGTGGTATTATTCCAGAAAATTGAACCTTCAACTCGCTAGAGATAATGTTTTTAGTGCGTTCCACCAACTTAAAATACTTCAGTATTGACAGCTGTTTCCACCTATTTAAGGTCTCTTTAGTATAGAACAACTTGTAGTGTCACACCAAAGCAAAGGACTACCTGAGCTTATATACTCTTCCTGTAAGTCAACGAGATTTAAGAACATCACGTGATCCACACCGCCTTTGCTGCGATCGGTACACACTATGCCACCAGGAATGCACGGTAAATTGTTTTAATCGTTTTAACAGATTGCTTTAGGTTGAAGTAACTCTTATTTTACAAACAACATATTTAGTAAACTGAACCATACAGCGCGTTGGTTTCACTAAAGTTTTCTGGGTTAATTTAACCAATTTAAAAAAAAATAACTATCTGGTTTAGTACCGTCAAACCAATCTTTGTTTATATTAACCTTCCCACAGTTGATTTAAATAAATACTTATGGGTCAACTAAATTAATATATGTAAATGAACTATTCCTATTTTCTGTGTAGGTGCACTTCTCAAATATTTTTAGATAAACACCGTTTTGGTGTTTGATGTATATAACATTTTCAACCATAATTCATGGTGTTTATAATAACACCAGTTGGTGTTGGATTTTGACACCATTTTAAGATTACTTTTTACACCACAGATATTTTAAACAGTGTAGAGGACTCAAATATAAAAATGTTTGATTTTAAGGATATTTTTTGTTAGATTTCTTAAAAAAACTAAAATATAAATTATATTAGGTAAAGTTATCATTTTTTAAATCTGCACCAGCAAGTATACATACCAAATTGGATCGTTTGGCAAAACGCGAAAATGCATCTTCCGATTAGTTTTTAATTACATTTACAATTAAAAAGACGATAATCACACAAACACATCGAAATCGAGTACTTAAACCAAGCAAAGTTTTTTAGTTTTTAGTCGCAAACGCGAAATACGAATAACGTGCGCGGTTAAGCTGTCAATTGCAACTTTGCAAACAAAATTTGTCGAGTAAGACTTCTGCCTTCCTCTCTTTTGTAAAAAACTACCTATTTATTTAAAAATGGTATGCAGTTGGTATGCTTTAAATTTATTGTTGACATACCTTGTATTTCAAATCATGTTTGAACCAGAAAATTATTGTTTAAAGAAAGTTCTGTTTTAATGAAAAATGCGTTTTCTTTTCTTACCTATAAATAACACCATAATCAAGAATATTTAACTTATCCTACTTTGACATTTTGTAAACAGAGAGTTGTGTTTTGTGAAAAAAATATTTGACACACATATTTATTAAGTGTAGACAATATGTTTTATAATAATTATAAAATCCATTGTCTGTACCTTAATATTTATTATAGGTACTGCCAATATAAACAATTTTTAAGTGCTTTTTATAAAAATTACTTTACATGGATTGTATCCAAAAAATCCTTTGTAAGAAAAAGGGCCCATTTTAATAATAAACATTCATAACACAACAATAATTATAATTATAATTTTTATTAAATAAAAAAAATTCTACAGTTTACATAAGAAGGTTTTTAAATAATTTTAAGACGCGATTGCTGTAAATCAGTATTTTCTATAAGAACTTCTTAAAAAATTCTTGGAACATTACTAGTTTTTTTTTATATTTTTAAACCAGAAATGATAATTCTTACATCCATCTTAGATTGATAAATTACTATTGATTAGAAACAAACATAACATTCTTGATGGATATTTAAAAAAAATACATATTCTAAAAACCTAACCGATGCATCGTGATGTAGTGAAATTAATAGGTCATTATTATGTAAAATATCTTAATTTGTCAGTATTAGAAGTCTTTGAGAATAAATGGGGATAATGGCTGGGACAAACCAACCAAGGGTTTTTCCTCGCAAAAAAAGGAGAAGAAATAGAATAAATACAATTATTTTAGATAGAAACGTATAGCAGATACTAGCATAGTTTTACCTACTTGCTTCTTCCACTTAGGCACATATCTTGCTGGCAAAACACAAGGTACCAACACAAACAGCACAAATAAACTAAACCACACTTTGTCCATTTTAAAAATCCATTAAAAATTCGATTATAGTGATAGATCCGTACAGTTCTTCTTTACAAGTCAACAAGTAGTGCTGTCATTGACCGTGAACCCACCAATGAAGAAGATCGAGTAAACAGTGACCTACATTTTCCATGGTACCGTATAAGTGCCTAACTGTTTTGGTGCTGCATGTGATGACCATTCGTGGTGTATTAAGTAGTCAATGGGCACAGCTATAAAATTATTTTTCGTTAAGATGTTTACATTTTTAGAAACTCAAAAGGGTTATACGAAAATTTTGATTTTTACCAATAAGTCTTGCAGCACGAAAAACATAATTTTTTAAGGGTTTAACCTTTCCTTGACCGAGCGTGGTACCTTAGGTACCCCAGATATAGTTTTTAAACAATTACTTTCTAAATAATTTTTCTGCATTGTTTTCCTTTTAGCTAATTCTCGAAAATGTATTCTTTTTTTTACTTTTCTCAGAAAACTGTAAAAAATCACGTGGTGTACGCAAAGATAATACACTGGGGTGTATTATCTTTGGGTGTACGCAGTTACCCCGCACTGTCAAAACCATTAAACTTTTAAATAAGTAGTGTTTTATTGAATAACTTTGCAAACATCCCTTAATAAAGTTACAAAATTGGCTGGGGTATCTTAATTACCTTACCCCACTTGGTCTGATATGAAACTAAATAAAACTAATAAAATAAAGTAGATTAGGAAAGTTAGGCCACGATATTAGTCGATATGAGAAAATGTTGAAAAAATTCTAGATTGTAGTAGTCTTTATTAAGGACATTTAAAAAGTTTTAGAATGTTTGAACGTCTGGTTTTCGAAAAAAAATATATTAAAATTGCGAAGACTGCATCGGCTGTTATCGTCCATTACTATTTATTAAACAGTGTTTAACTGTTTTGTGGATGTTAACAAAAAATTTTTATGCCACTTCGGCAAGAGAACAAAAATCGATAATCTTAACTGTGGACACTGTCCAACCAAAATTATCAATCTTTCATTCTCGTCTAGAAGATCCGGAAAAACTGAATTACTAACACATGATTAAATTTGGTTTGATTTATTTGGTGACTTCCATAATTTCGTTTTTAAAGTAAATTATAAAAAAACACAATTGTATTAAGTTATTTATTATAAGTAAAAAATAATTAAACAATCCTTCCACCTTCTATGGTTTTCTTCTCTTTGTTTTCTGCTCTTTTTTTTTGACTTTTGCTGCATTTAACATCCTGCATGTTTTGTGTTGCTTTATATCTGTTCCTATAACTTTAAATAACTTTAAATACTGTTTTTTATTCTTCGTTTTCACAACTCATTTTAAGATTTTAAATAACACTGCATATGAACTATCACTGCCACTGTCAAAAGCGAAAAGCGTTACCATAGACACCAACTATCATAAACTCGCAATGTCGGGTTTCAATCCTATTTTTACGTTCACGTTCTTGTGTTACAATGTATATTATATAATAATGCTTAACAATTATAAAATCAGTTGGAAAATTGTCTGTTTTTAAATGAAATGTAATAAAAGAAAAAAATAATTTTTTGCAAGTTGGTATCATATATTCATTAAATATAAAAGCTTTACCCCTTTCTCCGCATTGTCCTACCCAAACCTGCTTAAGAAACACATTTTTTAAATATTATTAAATTTGGACAAAAAAAACTTCCTGTAAAGTTTTATTCTATGTTTAAAAATTAACCTTGTTGAACATATAGGGTATATTATTATATATTTATTTGGAGTCTTTATTGATCAATGATCAAAGTTCAGCATTAGGTGTTCTACCACTTAACCCTCATAATAGTATCTAGTGTATTATTAGCCTAGGGCGTCAAATTGTCTTAATCTGGCTCTGGGTACAAGCTAACTCCACAACAAAGTCCTTAACCTCTGTCTAATGTCTACACTCTTAAAAAAGACCTGGTATTTGCAATGAAAATTTAGTTCCCAGAACCAATTTTGTTAGTGAAAATAGGCACAACAAAAAAATATGTTGTGGGAACTAATACAAATTTGTTTTAACAGTTTGTTGTCGGAACAGCCAATATTGGTAGCTCCAACCAACAAGTTTAAGTGCATCGAAATTAGTTTTTTTTTCATACAAATAATTGATATTTAATGCAATCACATTAGTCTGTCATTTTAGCAGCGTCTAAGTTGTAACAACTGCACTTGCTATTTATCGCAACAAACATTGTATCATGCAGGAATTTATTTTTTAATTGAAATTACATGAAAAAAGGTACATTTAAAGAATTTAATAGTTGATATAATATAAATTTGTTTTGTATTGTAACTAAGTTATATTTAATATTAAATGCTTGCATTAGTAGCAACAACAAATTGGTATTATTCCACAGTACATACCTGCTTAGTAAATATAACACTTTTTGTGTAAATATTATAAAAAATAGAGAAAGGAAATTCATGCCCGTTCGTTTTATAAATATTTATTATAAATTAAAAAATAACAATATAACTGAAAACACCAAATTTTGGTTTAAACATTATAACAAAAATTAATAATTACTATAAGAAAACATTTATAAATATTTTAACAATAAAACAAAAACGATTCTTTGGTAAATATACACAGATAGGTACATTAAGATGAAAGTTGACTATACTTCTTCAATAAACCGTGATGTTTACGTGAAGTGCAAGCCTTTGTTTAACAACTTAACAATGATTCTTAGGTACAACGTAACATACTTGCATGATAACAGGGGTAAGAATTCGAAATTCCGACGTGATGGAGACTTTTGGTGGGCACCATTGGATTCAGGAGGCCATTTTCAGTCGGTATGGCATTTTCACATTTTTGAATTTTTTTTCGGACCCCAAAACTACAATAGTGTAATTAAAGGAGTGCAATAATAATACCTAACCTTTAAAAACTGGAACCAATTCAGGTAAACCCCATGTTCCTAATAAATCTGCTAGGTACTTCAGTCCGCTTATCCATATTATTTGTTCGAGATATCTATAAGTAACCAACACATAAGAATATATTCTTATATATATGAATAGTTAAAAATTATGTCGCCACTGAATTTACAGGGGCAAATGACTAATTGTAATAAACTAGTTTCTTACCTAAAATATACACAACACACGAGCTGATACACAAATACAAAAGAACAAACACCACCGTCTGGACGCCGTGCAACACCGTTTGTTTACAGGTTAAAAGTAAAGCACGCGCCGGGCTGGACAAATCGCGCGCGAAATGCACAAAGTTTGCAGTTGCATTAACCTACAGAGACAACATCCCCAACTGACACTTTGTTTCACACCGCTGGTGTCTTAGCTGTATGAAAAGTGACGCATAGTTTATACAACCGAACCGTTAGTTCCACGGACTAATTTCAGTCAGTTGAGAATGTTACTTAAATATTTGGTCCAACAAAAACATTTTACCGCCGAAATGATTTTTTTGAGATAATGTTGTCAATACTTCTAGCCAACACAAAGTTTCAGTTAAAATAACTTAATCGCCTTTTTGCAGTAAATAATACTCCACAACAAAACTAAATCTTTTCAGGTAATGATGCAAGCAGTTACACATATAAAGGTACTGATTACAAAAAACAAAAAATGTTATTTTCTGCAACAGTTTTACCCCAACGATAATAAGTTAGTTACAAATACCAGGTCTTTTCTAAGAGTGTATGAGCCGAATCAAAGCAATATTCAAATTGCTTATTAAATTTTACAATAAGGTAATTTTTGTTAACAAAAATAAATATTTATTTTTAATAATAATAATAAGTCAAGTTAAATTCCACAAAACAGTTTTTGAGGTTTTGTCATTTGGACAAAATAAAAGACTTATTCCAAATGAAAAAATTTTTAGTCGGGAAAATAGCGGCGCTGATTGTCGATGCGTATGTATGACGTGAAAGTAGTATCGAAAATACATCATGTATTATACATGTGAAGTAATCAAGTAAGTTTTGACAATTGATTTGCAATAATGTTTTGACGTACGAATCGTTTTGTAATTTATGTCTGTACCTGGTAGGTAGATGCTTTATAATCTGTGAAGTGATTCTACGACTCTGGAGAAGCAAAATTAGATTTCCAGGTTAGAAATACACCGCTATTTAATAATTTAAATTTAATTTAAATAAAAAAGTATGTATAAAATGAGTAAACAGCATATTTAATAATTTCCACCTTTATTTGTTTATATTGAACTTTTATTTAAGCCATCTACCTATAAAACTAAAAATAAATACCATATGGATTTAATATTCTGTTAGTTGTACACGCTTTAACACCACACGACATTCTTTTATAGAAAAAACACGTATTTATAAAAAACTGTACTATGCTCTACATCAGAAAGTCCAACATGAATTCCAATGTTAAATTTGATATAAATTTATTGTAAATTAAGACCTTTATACACAAAACCAGGTACATGGGTACATTGTTTTCAGAAAGCGATAAACTGACAGTTGCATAACCTCAATTATTTGCACATCAATAAGTGGTAGGTAGTGGCGCCATCTCTGGTTATACCCCTCTACTGTTTTGGTACGGTAGACTACCGTCGGTAGTACAACCTCTTATCTTAGGAAGATTCTTGTTTACATGAAGTTCGGGCTCCTTGTGTAGGCTCCATGGTTATGGCGCTTGCCAAATTGCTAAATTTAATTTAATTTGTAAAACAAATAAATAAAGTAAAGAAGTTGCTTAGAAACAAGATGCACAGCCTACTATACCATATACATTAATTTGTAATTTTTCTTTTCTTGTCCCATCCCATATATGTTTTGCATTCATAAGAGTCAAATTTTTAATCGTATTAAAAAAAGTAGGTACAAAAAGTTTTTTTTATAAGCATAAAAATAGCAAACACTTGTTCCTAAGAAATTTCGTCATTGGCGTGTACATATTTTAAACTCCCTCAAAAACTAAAAGTCAGTTGAACTTGTTGATGCCTATTGGTGTGGAAAACATTAACAATATAATCTGTAACCTTTAAAATTAACAAAATGCTTACCAAAGTGCATATTACCTTTACAAAACTTTCGGTAAATATTTTCATTAGTTAAAATAATT